GGTACAGGAGTGGGACTTGGCAGCAGCTCAGCTGTGGGTGGGAATGCACCAGGTCCTGCAGCACTTCCCACCTCACCTCCATCCACAGGGTTCTGCACGGACTGATCAGACCATATTTGTCCAGCCAAGCCCTTTGAAGGGCTGTGGGGCCACTCCAGGAGCTGTTTGCATAAGACAAACATCCTTCAGATGGAAACAACATCCTTCAGAGGGAAAGGAGGGCACGGGGGGCTCTTCATCCTGAGAAACCTCGATGGAGACAGACATTCCTCACCCTGCCAGTGGATCACCACCACCACAAAGACTCCTCCTGGCTCCTCCAGACCTTCTCATCTCTTGCCAACCAGCCTCTGTCCCTCTGTCAGGTAGGAAAGGAGAGGAGATATCTCGTGTGACAGAGCTGACAAAACACCTCAGGTCACATTCTGCCTTTATTGACGTGACCCAGCCTGGAGTTACACACCAAGGAGCCCCTCGTTTGCAACAAACACATCAGGGGGGTTTTTCTGCTTCTCTTTATCACTTTGCCCAAATAATTTCTCCTAAAAGTTAAAAAAAAATAATAAATGCATGTTTGTCTCCTCAGTTGACTTTGTGGTGGCTTCCAGCCCCTCGATCTGAGAGTGTTGACGTGCTCAGGGCTGATTTTGGACTGACGACACAACACAAAGTGTTTTATTTGCAATTCTCCCTTCCAGACTGGGCCAGAACAAAATGAGCCCTTTTATTTATTTATCTGTTTATTTATTTATTTATCCATTGATTATTTTTACGACTGTTTGAACCACCCCGTTTTCTGAAAGGCTTCAGTGCAGCGATGGGGGAAGGCTGAGGGTTGCCTGGGACCTGATTTACCTGCCCCAACAATCCATGGCAGGGATTTTCCTCCTGTTTACCCCCCATCCACCTTATCTCCTGAAAGGCTTGTAGGGCTGCTGGTTAAACCACCACAGACAAGGCAAACACGGGGATTGTGCAAACAGCCAACGTGTTTCCTGACGTGGTGGACAAACAGTATCTTCGTTTGTAGTTGCTGGGTAACACCAAACATCCACAGATTTCCCCCTCAAAGGGCTCTGCAGGGCTCACAAACTCACCCTGCTCCTGCTGCAGGGGTGGAGACCTTGCAGGGGCTTGTTGGGGCAGAATGGGGAGGAAAAAAAAAGGTGAGAGAGAGGTTGAAAGCCAGAGGATGTAAGAGCAAAATAGCTCCGTGAGTTGTCCCTGTAAATGCCATTATGGCACAGTAATTATGCCTAAGGGGACACTTACAATCAACACCCTCCCCGCACTTATTAGAGGCACAAAGACCTCGGAGAAGGAATTAGGAAAAAGGATCTCAGTGAAAATATCCCCAGCACAAACACAGGAAAGCCCAGCTCTCCCTCCCGTCTGCCCTGCATTCCCCAGGATTGGAGGGGCAGAACAATGGGGTGTCCCTCTGTCCCTCTCCACACTTCCTTCCCCTTCCCAGGGCTGGTCAGATCCCACAGGGCAGGGGGGATTTACCTCCCACCAGCTTTGCTGCCACGCACAGACAGACAGACAGACAGACAGCACCCAAAATGCTCTGACAGCTCTGACAAGGCTCCAGGGAGAGCTGAGAGCCCCTTGCAGGGCCTAAAGGGGCTCCAGGAGAGCTGGAGAGGGACTGGGGACAAGGGATGGAGGGACAGGACACAGGGAATGGCTTCCCACTGCCAGAGGGCAGGGAGAGATGGGATATTGGGAAAGAATTCCTGGCTGTGAGAGTGGGGAGGCCCTGGAATGGATTTCCCAGAGAAGCTGTGGCTGCCCCATCCCTGGAAGTGTCCAAGGCCAGGTTGAAGCAACCTGGGCTAGTGGAAGGTGTTCCTGCCCATGGCAGGGGGTGGTACTGGATGATCTTTAAGGTTCTTTCCAACCCAAACCATCCTGGGATTCTGTGATTCTCTATCAGGTGGGAAGGAGTTATCCTGTGATCCCAAAAAAGAGCCATGTCTGGATCACCAGGAGGGCTCAGGCAAGTGTTTCTCCAGCAAGGACTTCCCACCTGAGAGCCTGGGAGGAGGAAAAGGGACTTTTCTCTACCTGCAGAGAGGGTGAAACCGCCCTGTTTCCTGGAGGAGGGGGTTGTTCCATGCTGTGTTTAAGGATTGTTCACCCCCTTCCCTCTGTTCCCTCTCTCAGGGGAAGCTGCAGCATCTCCCTCCCTGTCCACCCCCCAAAACACCAAAGCAGAGTCTCCTCTGAGACTTCCACGTGCTGCCCTTTGGCATCTCCAGACCTTCAGCCTCGTATTCCCCTGCCAAAAAACAAAACTGGCCCTTCTGGAGGACTTTTTCCCCTTCCACGAGCACATAAGGAAAGGCTTTCAGGACGTGGTGTGAGATCTGCCTACGCCTAAAACTCGCCCCTGGTTTAAAGCTGAGCTGGGTCCTAAAGGAGCAGCTTAAAAAGCGAGTCCAAAGGGTTTTAATGAGGGTTTTATAGGGGCATCATTTGTGAAATGAATGTGGCTGGATCCACGTGAGGAATCACAGCAGAAACCCCCCCATGCCAGAGGGAGATATTTAAAATAGCTTTGAGCATTCAAGGCTCTAAGCACGGGATAAGGAACTTTTAAATCTGAAACCAAGTTTCCCCATCCAAAATTGCATCTCTTTTCCTAGAAGCTGTCTGGAACTTCATGTTAAATTCCCTTCCATCAGCTGCTCCCTGACTTTTTTTTTTTTTTTTTGACACTGCACAGCCTTTAGCAGCCAAATTGCTGCTGGCAGTGGGGGGGAGAGAAGGTCCTTCTGCTCATCATTCCTCTTGGAGGTGGCTTGGAAATGAAACCTTCCCCCAGCCCTGCATCCTGGTGGGAGCCTGTCTTGGATCCAACTGGCCAAGTCACAGAAACATTCTGAAAATGTGCAAACTCTGATTCTTTTGGAGGCTTTTGCTCAGCAGAAAGGATGTGGAAAGCAAAAAGGATGTGGAAAGGACACCAGGAGCAGCTGCAGTGGGACCTCACGAGTCAGGAGGATATTTTCAGGGCCAGAAGAAAAGATTTTTTCCCCTCGATCTTACAAATGGCCGAAGCCTTTCTGCCGAAAGGAAAAGGAGACAAAACACGAGGCACAAACCCGGGGATGTGCAGAGCCTGGCAAAGTCCCAGGGAACCCGTGGCCACGTCTTGGGACGGCTGCATCTGCCCCACCTGCCCCTGCAGAGCCACCCTCCCGCCTGCAGGGAGCACAGCCCGAAGCTCTGCGGGGACCACGCGACCAGGCAGCGACTCAAATGCTCCCACAGGATGTGTTTCCATCGGGATTTAAGATAATCACGGCGCTGAGAGGCTTGCGATTCTGAAAAGTCTGCTGTCAGCAGGACTGGAAGGAGAAGCACTTGGCAAAGAGCTGCCAGGATCCTCTGCTGTGCCCGGGCTCATCGCTTTGGATCAACCCCTACATCCTGATCTTTCAGCTCCAGCCTTTTCCCTGCTGGTGGGGGCAGCAGGGTTATTTTACCCCTCCTAGGAAAAGAGAGACAGTTGCCAGTGAGCTCTTGGCTTCGTCTGGCTCAGTAAAGAGGAGCCTGGCATCTGTCTCACACTTGCTTGTTATTTTGACAGCACATCCCCTCCTTCTGCACTGCTTGGACCGTGCACTCCCTCAGGGCTGGGCCAGAAAAAGCAGAAAATGGCCAATTTGTAGCAAGAAACCCCGAAGCTGTTGCTCTCAGCTAAATTTTTTTTGTCACCTTGCATCAAGAAGGGCAAAAAAATTCCCAGGCAGGACAGAGTTCAGTGTTGCCACAGTGCTGGGCAGGCCTGGGCATCCTCCTCACCCCGAGTGACCCGTGGTGTTGCAACGGGAAGAAAACAAGTCCTGAGATCCAGCAGAACACTCCTCCTCTCCCCAAACTGCTCTGACTCGAGGACCCCACAGCAGGGTGGCCTCAGCCTGGAGATCAGGTCCAGGCTGCAGCTCCTCTCCTGGGAGTTCAGGATCTGAGGGAGGAACGAGTGCAGGCGATGAAAGGGGATGGGAAGAGAAATGAAAGGTGAGTTGGAAAGGGCAGGAGAAACCAGGAGGCTGCAAAGCCTCAACCTGAGCCTTTTTATCCACCTCCAACCACCCACGTGGGAACAAAACATCCCTCCCATCCCATCCCTCTTTGAGACAGGATTGCCTTGGATGTAAATACCCCAGGAATAGCAATATGAATGATGTGAGCACTCTGCTCCTGCTGCCAAGCAGGGATTTACTGGTGCCCAGTTGAGAGCAGCACAGGGGCCATATATTTGCTCCAACTTGTGGAGGTTTTCCAGGTCAGATTTTTATTTTCCTTCCACTCTGAATGTGGATGTGGATGTCCATGTTGCTCCCCGGGATGGACAACATCCATATATCCCAGATCAGGGGAGGAAGATGGATGGTGAAGGGGAGGTGATGGGTGATGAAGATGTGAGGAACTGTCAGAGGGCAGGGATAGGTGGGATATTGGGAAGGAATTCCTGGCTGGGAGGGTGGGGAGGCCCTGGCACAGGGTGCCCAGAGAAGCTGTGGCTGCCCCTGGATCCCTGGAAGTGTCCAAGGTTGGACATGGCTTGGAACAACCTGGGCTAATGGGAGGTGTCCCGGGGGTGGAACTGGATGAGCCTTAAGGTCCCTTCCCACCCAACCCATTCCCGGGTGCTCTCTGCCCTTTGGGGGGGAGCTCAGCATTCCCAATCCCCATCCACAGCTCCAAACACCCCCGGGCTTTGGGACAGCACCGAGCGGGAGGGAGAGGGGAACCCGCGGGGGGGCTTTTCCCTTTCCAGGGGTGCCCTTATCCCCCAGCCCCGCACCGCGCAGGGGTTCGCATCCCGCAGGGACACCCCAAAACCAGCCGAACGAGCGGGCACAGCCTTCTGCTGCTCCTTCCTCCTCCTCCTCCTCCTCCTGCTGCCGCTGCCGGGGCGGAGCCGCCGGTGCCGCGCCCGCCCCGCTCGGGGAGCGGAGCCGAGCCGGCTGCGGGGACCGGGGACGCGGCGGCGGCGGCACCTCCGTCCGCGCCTCTGTCTGTCCGTCCGTCCGTCCGCCCCATCCCACCCCGTGCCCGGGGCGCGGCCTCGGCGGGGCAGGGGCACCCCCTCCCCCGGGGCTCGGCGAGCTGGAGGATTCCCCAGCGGCAGGTAAAGGGTGGCACTGGGAGCACTGGGAGCACTGGGAGCGCTGGGGGGGCTTTGGCGTCTCCCGCTCTCCCCCTCTCCCACCTTTTGGCGAGGGGGGTGCGCGGTGACCCCGGGGTGGGGGGACGATGCTGAGCCGGCGGGGGGGTGTCGGGGGTGTGACAGATGCGTTGGTTTGACGCCCCCAAAAAAGTGCTGCGTTGTTTCTTTGCCCCTAAACGTGTTTGTTTGGGTTTTTTT